TGGACCCTTAGGGTAAGGGTTTGGGTTTCGGAGAATAGGTTTCAGGGTCCGGGCCGGTTTACCCTGAATGGCGCTGCGGGGCCTCGGAGTTTGTGGAACTGGTTTTGCGCCCCCTAAATCCTAAACCCTAAACCTTAAACCCTAAACCCTTATCCCTAAATCCTAGTCACAAAACCCTAATCCTAATCCCTAAACCTCAAACCCTTCGGGCCTTGAAGCTTCAGCTTTAAGCTTTCAGCTTTAAGGTGTGAGCTTTAAGGTACAAGGAGGGGCCCCCTGGTTATAGGTTGGGGTATAAGTTTTTATAAATATGGTTATAAGTCCCATAAATTGTAGTTCTAGGACTTAGAAGTGTAGTTATGTAACTAGGGGGCCCCTCCTGAACCCTAAACTCTAAACCCTAAACCGTGTAGGGTTGAGGGATGTTGTAGCCCTGGGGCTCCAAACCGGCACCGTGTGAAGCACCCCGCAACGCTAAGTCGAAGCGTATGGGTTCCCCCTACCATCCCCTTGTACTATTTAGGGTTTGGAGGTTTTGGGGTTTTGGGTTTTGAGTTTTGGGTTTGAGGGGTTTAGACTGTTAGGGTTTATGGTTTTAGGGTTCAGGGTTTAAGGGTTTTTGAGTTTTGGGGTTTGGGTTTTAAGGTTGCTCTCCTCCCAGGTTCCCCCTTATTTAGTGGGGCCTGAAATACACTTCAGGAAAGGGGAACCTACGGGGACCCTAAACCCTAACCCTTAAATTCTACTCTAAACCCTAAACCGCGTCTGGCCTCTAAGATGTTGACTTTAGGTCCAGGGGGCCTTGGGTAAAGGGCTTATCATGGGTTTTCTCATTACACCCCTCTATACTACACCCCCCTAGGTGCTCCTTAATTAACTTTAATTACGCTTATCCCAAAAAAATCTGATAATTAAGGGTGGAACCTGGGGGGTAGTATAGAGGGGGATAGTAGGGGAACCCATGAGTTTCAGGTTTACGGTGTACTCTCTAGGGCGTGGGGTTTAGGGTGCAATTGCAGTTTTTGAGAAGAAGCCCCATTTTGGAGGGGTACTTGGACCCCTCGTGAAGACCTAACTACTTAAACCCGAAATCCTAACTGAGCCTAAATCCCAGAGCCTGCCTGGAGTCCCACTTCATCCAGGTAAAACTCCACCCTACCTTAATCCTACCCGAAGGCACCCTAAAAGCGGGAGATCCAGGTGTGCTGCTGATGAATTGAAAGTGCGTGCCGGCCTGGAGCAAAAAAGAGTGATCGCGGAACCCCTTGCGTTTAGGGTTCGGGGTTTAAGTTTACCGCATGGCTCCTATGTAGTTCCTTTCTGGTTTGTTGTTTTCGGTACGTAGGGGAACTAGACAGGAGAGTCTGGGTAACCCTAGAAGCCCAATAGAGCTTAAAGCTCCATGAAGCTAACCTCCTGTAAAGCCTACTTAAACCTAATCTGCAAGCCTTGCCCTAATCCTAAACTTAGACAGGCTGGCTGTCTCTACCTGTACCTCCTTCAGAGGAAATTATAGAGAGGTTCTCAACTGAGAGGGGCGGTACATGGAGACCGTGTCAAATGCTATGCGGGCATTCAACCCTAAAAGCTTGAACCCGAAACCCCTAAACCTCAACCATGAATAAACACAACCAGGCTGAATAGCGCTGCCTGAACCCTTTGGCTCGGCCCAGGAACAATCCTACACCTCAAACCCCTAAATTCTAAACCCCTAAATCCTAAACC